TGGAGCAAAGTTGGATGTCGACCCTCTTCTTCGGCGAGTCTGATGGAAGTGTTGTGTATGTCCACGCCCCGCCTCTCGCCGTCGCCACTCTGCTGGACCAATTCCACCTGCCGCAGTGAGAGTAGCCTTCCGATATCGGGACGGGGCGGGGCTGCGGGGCTGGGGCTGCCGGGATGGGGCCGGGGCTCTCAGCGTCCCTCGCAACCAATTACCAACCGATGTGTGATCTGCTGGTGGGAGGAGCCCCCTCGGCTCCACTCGGAGCGTTATCTCTCAGGCTTCGGAACCAATTATTCTTCTCCGCCTTCGCAGAAACTGCCCAAAAAGTTGCCGTAATGCGCACGGCTTTGGCCTGACGGCGCGTTCGACGGGGCGAGCACTTAGTCCTTGCGAAACCCGTGAAACCCTGGGCGCGCTGGCAGCTCTTTATCGCACAGCCAGATTGAATGGCAGGTGGGGCCCTTGCGCTGACAGACGACGCCGGCCTCGACGCCATCGCCGTCCAAAGGAGCTGTGTCCCAGGGGCGGTAGGGCAGCGCCAGCACGGCCATGCCTCCACAGAGACTCTCGCCTTGGCTCGCAGCCGTGCCTACGCCGTGCCTGCCCCGTGCCGCGGCGTCCGCGCGGGGGCTGTGGCTGTGCTGGTGCTGCCGCCACTGCCTCCGCTGCCGCCGGGGCGGGGCGTGCCTGTGGCCAGGCGGTGCCAGGCGGCCAGTCAGTCGGGCACCGCACCACGAGGCAGAGGCCGCGGCAGGCAGAGCCTCGGGCAGAGCGAGAGGCCAGGCCGCCAGGCCCTCGCAGGTGAGGCCCGCTGGCCCGCCCCGCGCTCGCCACCGGCCCTGCGCGTCGTGGTTGTCACCGAGCTTGACCATGGCGCGCGCGGCGCGTCCCCGCCGGGACATGGTCCAACTGGAGTCCCTGATCGGGGCCTCGCCGTCGTGCGGCAAGCGTCGCAACAGCGAGGGTCCCGGTGCGCGGACGCACAGCCTCCGGCGCAGCAGCAGCAGCAGTAGCACGGACGTCCGCGGCGCGTCGCGACGACACTCCTCCGCCGAGGACGCCACCGCCAAGGCCCTGCTCGCGCCGGCAGCCAAGCGCCGCGGGCTGTCCCTGTGCGTCCCGGGCGTCTCGCGGGCAGGCAGCGGGCACTTCGTCATCCACGAGCAGGCCGAGACGGACGGCGACGAGGTGGGCGATGGCGACCAGCCGCGCCGCCACTCCAGCGGCTGGGGCGACGTGCTCCGACCGCCAGAGCAGGACCTGCACCGCCGCCACAGCGAGGGCGAGCTGCTGCCCGCCAAGGACGCGCAGAGGTCCCCGCGCCCGGCCAGGAGGAGCAGCCGCCCGCGGCTCAGCCGCTCCAGCGACCTGGACCTCGACGACGAAGACCTGAGCGTGGCCACCGAGGGCACCAGCAGTGGCATCACGCCCAGCAGCCCCATTCGCATCACCATGTAAGCCAAGGCCTTGGCCGAGGCCACCGTCGTCGCCGTCCTGTCCCGGTGCACCGTATCGAGTAACCCGTGGGCCCGTGGGCGGCGGGGGGCTCGGCACGGCTCACGGCCCAGCCTTTGAGGAGCGGGATCGCCGGGGCGGCTGGAACGAAAGCCCTATTACGGGTGGACGATTATGGCATCGTCAAAGGGTTACGCTGTCATACTCGGCCTGTGGTCGCCTCTCGAAAATAGCCCCAGTCTTTGCACCCTCCCTCTCCTCCCTCTTGGCCGTGTTGTGGATGGCTGACCACGTGTGTGCCGCGGGGTGTCGCCTGGTGTCGCCCGACGGGCCGCCGCCACACCGCAAGCCGTTGTTGTTTTGTTTCGGTTGCCCCCTCATTTGTAGCGCCCGTTATTTTCGTTGGCGTTTGGCAGCCCGCGGCGGAGCAGGCTGGCCGGGCCGCGAAACCGCCTGGCAGGCCGTCAGGCAGGCCCTCAGGCAGGCCCGTCAGGCAGGCCCTCAGGCAGGCCCTCAGGCAGGCCGTCAGGCAGGCCCTCAGGCAGGCCGTCAGGCAGGCCCTCAGGCAGGCCGTCAGGCAGGCCCTCAGGCAGGCCGTCAGGCAGGCCGTCAGGCAGGCCGTCAGGCAGGCCGTCAGGCAGGCCGTCAGGCAGGCCTCAGGCAGGCCTCAGGGGCTCAGGCAGGCCCTCAGGCAGGCCCTCAGGCAGGCCCTCAGGCAGGCCCTCAGGCAGGCCCTCAGGCAGGCCCTCAGGCAGGCCCTCAGGCAGGCCCTCAGGCAGGCCCTCAGGCAGGCCCTCAGGCAGGCCCTCAGGCAGGCCCTCAGGCAGCTCAGGCAGGCCTCAGGCAGGCCTCAGCAGGCCCTCAGGCAGGCCTCAGAGCAGGCCCTCAGGCAGGCCCTCAGGCAGGCCGCTCAGGCAGGCCGACAGTGCAGGCCCTCAGGCAGGCCTCAGGCAGGCCCTCAGGCAGGCCCTCAGGCAGGCTCAGAGCTCGGCAGGCCCTGGCAGGCCTAGCAGCTCAGGCAGGCCCTCAGCGCAGCGCCCTCAGGCAGGCCCTCAGGCAGGCCTCAGGCAGGCCCAGGCAGGCCCTCAGGCAGGCCCTCGGAGCCTCAGGCAGCCCCAGGCAGGCGTCAGGCCGACGAGCCGACGGCGCCGCCACTAGGCGCCGTCGCGCCGATCGGCACAGTGCGCTCACAGCGCCCGTCGGCAGGCCGAAGAGCGTCTGCCTCGGCACGCCAGGACGTCCCCAGTGCGACAGTCAGGCGGCCTCAGTGCGCCGCCGCTGCGCGTCTCGGCCTCACACCTTGCGCGGCGAAGGCGGCGCCCCGGAGGCCAGAGGCCCCGAGATCCCGAGGCGAGTGGCTGCCATTCAAGGCCACGAGCACGCGCAGCAGGTTCTGCTTGGTTCAGCAGACAGCTGGCCCGCTAGCGCCGCGACTCCTTTCTTATGCAGTTGGCCGACGCGAGCGCTCGGAGCCGCCCTCCCCGTCGGTGGTCATTCGGCCAGGCGCCCAGGCGCCCGTTACATGGCATCAGCAGCCCGACCCTTATTACTCACAGACTCGTCGCACGATCGGACGGCTTCCGTTCAGCCTTTCCGGCCAGGCGGCCTCGCCCGTACAGGCCTTACTGCCCAGCTCGCAGGCAGGGCGGTCCGTTCGCGTTGGCGGCGTGGCAGGCCTACGCCCTCGGCCAGCGCCGCGTCCTCGTCATGGCGGCCCTGCGCCGCGCCCGTTATTGCATTTTTGTTCCCCGCCGCTGACGGCGCGCGGCCCGCAGCGCCACCGCCCCGCCCGCCCCGCCCCGCCCCGCCCCGCAGCCCCGCCCGCGCCCCGCCCACGCCCCGCCACGCCCCGGAACGACGGCCGTCGAAAGGATTTCCTCGTCGTTTCCTCTGGCGACGCGGCAGGCGGCAGCAAGGGCGGCAGCCGGCGGGAAGCACTTCCCTCCCCGAAGCGAGTTTGGCGCCGCGATCCGGACTTATTGGGCCGCCACTCGGTACCGCTCGCTGCAGGTATTAATCCTTTGGAGTTACCGCCCCGGAGTGCGAGAAGGCGAGGGGAGGGGGCTTGGCGCCCGGTCTTCCCGCCCGGGAGGCCCCGTCATCAGTGTGGGTTGGCCGCTGCAATCGGCCGGCCCGCTGGCTGCCGAATGGCCGCCGAAGGGTTGCCGAAGGGCCAGCCGACCAGAGCCAATAGCCATACGGTGCGCCGCATTGGAGGTACCTGTAGATTCCTAGTGCGTGGTACCCTCATGCGTTCCGTTTTATGTACAAAGCGTAGTGAGTCCAGTGCAAACCGTCCCCGCGGCACGCCGTGTGCTTGGCGGAGGCGAAGCACCGTCGGCCTACATGCGTACTCGGACCGGCTGGGCCGGGCTGGGCCGGGCTGAGCTGCGCTGGGCCTCCTAATGACGTGCTCACCCCGGTGGGGCTCTCCCGCTTGCTCCCGCTTGCTGCACACTCTCGCCCTGCTTGTTGGCGTGCTGATGGCAGCGTGAGGGCGCCCGAGTGCCTGGGTCAGTGCACAGTGGAGGGGTGGGAGCGCTGCGCTGGAGGGCGAGAGAGAGAAAGAGAGAAAGACAGTGAGAAGTGACGGCGTGGAGCGCGGCGTGGAGAGCGCCTGCGGGGTAGGCAACACTTGGACACGGGTGCGCGCGTCCCCGGATGTTGCCTACGCTGCAGGCGCTCGGCTCCGCCGCGCTCGCCGCCGCGCTGCCGTTCCACGTTGGCGTGGTTCAGCGGCGCGGTCGTTCCGGCGTTCTATTTTCGTTCCAGACCCTCCAGCCTCGCCCCCTGCTGCCGGCCTGCCGGCCTGCCGGGGCACGTGTCCACTTTCGCGCGACCGTGGCAGTATTTGAACCCCGGACGTTGCTATTTTAGACTAAAGCGCCCGTCCTTTCGGCCGGCAGTTTCGGCTAAAGTTAGCGTGGCTGGAACTTCCTTCCCAGGCGAGGGCGCCGAGGGCGGCAAGCACGTCCCGGCGCCTGCTTGCGGCCTGTTGGCTTGCAGGGCCGCTTGGCCGTAGTGATACAAACGAAGGGCGAGCGCCACATAAAGCAAGCAAACAGCACACCATGCGCGGGGCGGGGCGGCGCGGGGCGGCGCGCCCCAGACAGCATTATGTGTCGGTCAGGCGGGCTGGGAATTACACGCTGAAAGCGATCCGTAAGCGAACGCAAAGTGCTGCACAAACAGAAGCGGGGGGCGGCACGGCAGCGAGGGGCGGCCGGCGGAGCGTGGAGCGGCTACCCTTCTCGCCAGATACAATCTGCGGTGTTGTTGTGCGTGCGTCTGTGTGGGTGTGTTTGCGCGCCGTGTGCTCTGCTGTGTTTTGACTTCCTGCTGGCCGCACCTGCTTTGCAGTGCTTGGCAGTGCTTTGCAGCAGACGTATGTGGTTCGGTTCGTCCGGTCGATGGTGGCGGCGTGCGCGTGGCGCGCGCTCGGTCCGCCTCGCGTGACCGACGACCCGGGTGCGGGCGGGCAGGGCGGGCAGGGCGGGCACCGCCGTGTCGCGTTCGTTCCGCTGACGAGTCTGTTGTTGTTGCAGCTACCGGGCGCCCATTGCCAGCCTGGACTGCATGGAGGAGTTCGCCGGCACCAACGAGCACCTCACGGCCCTGGCTGGCGGCGGCCCGGGGGGAGGCGGCCTGGGTGGAGGCGGCGGGCTCAGCGGCGCGCTCGGCGGCGCGCTCGGCACCTCCACCAAGGAGCAGATGCTGCTGGCGCGCGAGCCGCTGCTGTCCGGCTCGGCCCTCGTCGCTAGGCAGACCAACGTCACGCCCGGCCTGCGCTACCGCAACCTGGGCAAGAGCGGCCTGCGCGTCTCCAACGTCGGGCTGGGTAAGGCAGCACGACTTTTCAAATTGCCGCCAAAGCGCGTCGACGACTACGAGCACCTCCCTTGCAGGCACGTGGGTGACGTTCGGGCCCGGGGTGACGGAGACCGAGGCCGAGAACGTGGTGGTGCTGGCCTACGAGTCCGGCGTCAACCTGTTCGACGTGAGCGAGGCGCACTGTGGGCCGCGCGCCGAGGTGGAGCTTGGCCGCATCCTGCAGCGTCGCCAGTGGAAGCGCTCGTCCTACGTCGTCTGCACCAAGATCTACTGGAACACCAAGTGAGTCCGTCGCACAGTGGGCCGGAAAACCCTCGGGAAGACCGGCGCAGGCGGCCAAAACTCTAGGACGTTTTGAGCTCCAGAGTCGCTAAAGAGGACTGGAAGCGAACGTGAGACCCCACCAATGGATTCCTCGTTCGGAGAGCAATCCAATGGTGGGGTCACACGTTCGGTTCGAGTCCCATTTCGTGAGTCTGGAGCTCGAAACGCGTCCGGATTTTTGACGGTGCTGGTGTGGGGGGAGTGCCGCGTGCCGTGCGGACTGACCGACTCACGTTGTCGCGCAGGTCCGACGAGCGGGGGCTGTCCCGGAAGCACATCATCGAGTCCGTGAAGGCGTCGCTCGCGCGGCTGCAGCTCGCCTACATCGACGTCGTCATCATCCACAAGGCCGACCCCATGTGCCCCATGGAGGGTAAGTCTGAGCGTGTCTCTCGCACCGGTAAGGAATTTCGAATCGCAGTAATTTTAATGACATTGTCGCTGTGGACAGAAATCGTGCGGGCCATGCACCACGTGGTGTGCCAGGGCTGGGCCATGTACTGGGGCACGGCGCGCTGGACGCCCGGCGAGGTCATGGAGGCCTACTCCAACTGCAGGCAGTTCAACTGCACCACCCCGGTGTGCGAGCAGGCCGAGTACCACCTGTTCTGCAGAGACAAGGCGGAGCTCTACATGCCGGAGCTGTACAATAAAATCGGTACGTATCGCCGCACGCTCCAGTCTGTTTCCTGCTTTTCGTCGTGGACCTCCCTAATTTATTTATTTTTGCAGGCGTTGGGCTGATGGCCTGGTCGCCGTTGACCATGGGACTCATTTCGGGTAAATTCGACGAAGCAGGGTTTCCTCTTATAAGTAGATCCTCTTTCAAGGTGAGTCTCAATCCCTTTCAAAATAATTAAGTTATAATAATTAAGTTTGGGAACGCCGTGGCCTTGAATTTAACTCCGTTTGTGTCTCTCCCCCAGAGTAAACGCTCATCCTACAGTTGGACTGAAGACGAAACAGGCGCTACAACTAAAGAAGTAAGTGCGCAGTCAAAGTAAAACAATGCCGGCGAAAAAAGAAATGGTTGCACTTTAGTGCGCTTTGAACCCGCGACCTTGCACTTTGCCCCGCAGACGTACACGTGGATCAAGGAGCGCCTGGAGCCGGAGGAGCTGCGGCGCCAGCAGGACCGGCAGCGCGAGATCTCGCTGGTGGCGGAGCGGCTGGGCTGCACCGTGCCGCAGCTCGCCGTGGCCTGGTGCCTCAAGAACGAGAGCGTGCAGTGCCTGCTGCTGGGGGCCACCTCGCCCGCGCAGCTCTACGAGAGCATCCAGAGCCTCCAGGTACGTTGGGCCGCGTTTCGCCGAGCCGGCCCTGTGGGCTTACAGTGCGTCGGCGACAAAGACTAACGTGTCGGCGCTGTGCAGCTGGTGCCCAAGCTCAACGCCACCACCATGACGGACCTGGAGCGCATCCTGGACAACAAGCCCACCAGGCCCCCCATCGTGTCCACCCTGGCGCTTAGATGACAAACAGTCTGCCCCCCCGGGGGCGTCGGCGGCGTCTCTGGGGGGGCCTCCCCCAAAGACGAGGACAGCCGCGCCCTCGCGGAGGAGCAGACTTCCCAAACGGCCTCGAAAGGAGAAAACAAGGTCAGTTGCTCTTCTTGTTTGTTTCTCTCTCTTTCTCTCTGTTTTTAAAACCCTTCACCGCGGAGCCGCGCCTTCCCCTTCATTAACTTTTTGAATCTCTCCTTTGAAATCGCTTCAATAATCGGAGCGGAACAAGTATATACCAGTGTGGCGGCGGCGGTTTTCCCGTTTCCAGATGGTCTTAGTTTTTGTTGTGTTGGTCGTCGCCAGTTTAGCCCTGCAGCTAGATCCACTTCAGATTAGACGCCCTGAGTGTCCGTCCGCGCGCCCCCGTGTCCGCGTGTCCACGCGCGCGACAGCGAGACAGTCTTTCGACCGCCGAGGCGCCGGCGACAGTCTCCCCATTCACTCATTCACTCTGGTCCGAAGCGGGCGGAGGCCGAAAGACCGAAAGACAAAGAGCCGAATAATTTTGGATTCCCTCCGCTAATTGCAGAGACCCGTCGTCCGTCTCTCTCTCTCTAGTCTCTGCCGCCGAGGCGCTAAGGCGTCCATAAATTAACGTGTCCTGCGCTATTTTAGTCCCTCGGAAACCCTTGCAGCCCCCCTCTCCCCGGTCGCAATCGGTGGCCTCGCCTCACCCCCCCCCCTCTTCCTCCCCTTTCGCGCCATTTCCGCCCCCCTCCCCCTCGGAGCCCTCCATTGTGAGACCCAGACCTTGCCTTTGCCGCCGTGTCGCGACCCCTCCGCCGCGCTGCGCCACTGCGGCGTTCTTACGGCAGGCATCGCGGCATCGCAAATCAATACCCACGCCGTCTGCGAAACATCGAACGAGTGCGGCGGAAGCCCCCCCCCCCCTTCCGGTTGCCTTGGCCACGTGTTCACCTCCGCATTCTGGACAGCGAGTTGAGCCTCTCTTGCACTTCCCCTGCCCGCAGTCCACCACGGACGAAAACGAAACGCGCTGTTTCCCGCTCCCGCAAAACGCAGGATGCACCAACCTGGGCGGAGTAAGTAGCAGCTCTCAGTCTGTGTGTGCACTGTGCGTGTGTATATGTGTGTCTATGTGTGGGTAGCCTCGCCAGTGTCTGGTCTAGCCTGTTTTTACTATCGTCTCTTTCTTTGGTTTAGGGGTAGTGTAAAATGAATGGATTTCTTTTTTGTGATGGTGTCGCTCTGTCTGCAACCCCAGCCTCCTTTATTCTCTATTCCTAATGTCTGAACCTCTTTCAAGGCTTTTAACACTCGTCGGAGTTTCTGGCGCCGTCCCGGTACACTCTCTGTGCTGAACAAGGATTGCCAGAAATCTCACTGACTCGTCTTCTCTCTGTCTTTCCTGTGCTTCCTGCTTCCGGTCATGAGAGACTCCGCTGCTTTTGCATTTGATGCTGTCTCTCTCTATCTCTCTTGCTCTTTTCTGGTATGAGCTACGTATTGCCCCGTGTATATTTCGGGTAGTTTCTTACTCAGTACTGCATCATGGATATAGAAACGTATAATGCCCATGCGACGTCTTGTGTCGTGTAAAATTCGTGTCGAGAGGTCAAGTCTGAAAAGAGAGTCAAGTTGCTCAAGTAAGACTCTCAAGCCTTTTGACCAGGCCGAGGCCCTCACAGGCTTTTACCCTAGATTGTTTTTGCACGTTCGAATGCTGCTAGGCCGCTTAGGTTGGGTTGCACCCGTCCACAAGGCGTGGATAGGCAACCCGAACCGATGTCGTTTGTGACTTGATGTTGTCTTCAGATGGTGTTTTTTAACCGATCATATTTCTTCTTCCTCTAGCTGTAGAATGGGCCCTCCTTACTTGGTCCATTCCTTAGATTTAGTTTGGTCATATTTCTGTTTATGGTACCGTGTCTTGCCTGTTTCACAGTCCGTCAGTAGACCGAGTCTTGGCATGGAAAGATGTCGGCGAGACTAATAGAAATGATATCGTCAGCATTTCTAGTTTCTTTTTGTTTTTGCTTTCATTGACGGTGATGAGCTAGGCACCCTAAAAACATGAGAAGGGGCGCATGGTTTGCTAAGTATCCCGACGTATATCAACGCGTCTATTTTACCCATCTCTTCTGATCATCTTCAAACATTCTTTAGTCTCCCTTTCTCTTCCTCCCACACATCTCAAGCCATTCTTATCCTGTTATCCTGCAGAACAAACTGGACCCTCCACTTTTTTTCTTTTGTTGTGTCATTTTCTCTTTGTCGTGCTTCGTTTTGCGCTCTTTTTTTTTCTTTTTGTTGTGGCTTTTGATGTTTTGGACTTCCCTCCTTGCCATCTGCCCCCTCTTCGTCGGCAGCCAGCCACCGCCTCCTCGAAGGGTGAACTAAAGGGTCGTTGCGCTTGCCATTGCAGGTGTCCTTCTGCACCATACAGTGACGGCTCCCGGCCCCCGGCTCGCCCACCCGGCAGGCCGCGGGGCCCGCCGCTGCCTCCTCAGCAGCTGCAACCGCCGCAACCGCCGCAACCGCCGCGACGAGTCCCAACGACGGCGCCATCCCGGGCACCGCCATCACGCCCATCACCGCCACCACGGCGCCCGCCAGCATCCTGGTGCGCAAGGGGTCGCGCGGCCGCCCCCCGTCACCCGTCCTCATTTAGGTAATTCTGAAGCCAATTTTTACCGTGTTTGAAAGAAAATGAAAACTGTTGCACGCCAACCTGCAGTATACGTATCTTTGATTACAGGATGTGTCAGCAATATCGTGAAGAATTTCCAGTTCATAGAGCGCAGTTTCAACTTCTCATCGTGGACAGTGATAAAAACAAGCTTTCTTCAAAGAAGTATTCACGACACAAAAAGTGGTGTGAACTTGCAGGCATCATTTGCCTTTTTGAAGGTGTGGTCCCTAACACAAACAGTTTTCCTTTTTTTTAAAGTGCGCAAGAAATCTTAGTGCCTTTATCATTGCCTCATTTTGGACAAGACCTCAAATGAAATAGGCAGTTTGAAGTGTATTTTTACCTCAAATGTGTGTCCATCCATGTGGCACGTCGACAATAGAACTTTGTCGGGTGCTCAAATTGATCTCTCACAAGATGTAGTATTTTGTAAGAGAAAAATTCTTTCATACAATGTTATTTAAATGTCATTGTTGTTGTATAGTTTTATTATAAGGCAGAGCAAGTTGTTGACAGTTCCTGTTTTCTTTATTATGGGTCAGAAATGACTGATTCATTGATTCATTTCCGAATCCTATTGTTTCAGTCTCAGTCATATCTTCCAGTCCTTTAATTTTGGAAATTGTTTGCTCCTCTACCAGTATTAATAAGAATGTTAAAATCATGCTGGAGAAATGATTCGCTCATCCAAATTTAGCGCTCATTCTGAATGAGATTTACAAATGTAGGATTCCTCTCGGTTTTACTCTAAAAGACAAAGGGAGTGAATAATGTATCGCCCTGTGGGCAGCTACAGCACAAAAAATTAAAAAGCTTTCTTTCACTCAGTAGGAAATGAAGCTATATTGGAAGAATTGCCGCCGTCCTTCTTCATTTGAAGATACTGCCAGAAAGGCAATAAAGGGTCATTCCATTCCAAATTAAATCAGAGATTTAAGAAATTTCGAATACACTATGTACTGTGATTTAGTAGTCTCCCTATATTGCCATTTTTTTCCTTTTGTCACTCCTTTTTCCTTGATAGCATTGCATAGCAATTAGTTTGGCAGAAGTTCTCTCCATGATTCTACCTTTATATTTTTTGTTTTGGAATTGGACGGTGCTATTAGAAGTTACCTCTGCATGGAATGACCCTTAAGAGTGTTCAACTCATCCATATCTCTTTATCACTGGTGGATATTGTGATAACCATTAATGAATTATATATTGTATATATAATGTGAGTGAAAGAATTTTTCTTTGTTCCTCTCTTGGCAAGAATGGAGATTTTATTATTAATAAGTGTACTGTTATTCAGATGCTGAACTCAAGCTGACTTGCCATTCAAGTAAAGATATTCTCAGTGACAGTTTGTTATTGAGAGAAGGGATAATGCTTTGGTTAATACTGGTGATTAATGTTCTGTAAAAATAGTACCACTGATCGGACATAACAGCAAACACAGCAGAATACGTAAAGTAAGGTCACTGTCTCTTCCAATTTCTTTCATTAAGGCTGTAAATTCTTTACACAGCAAAAAAAAGTGGGTACTCTTTATGGGCAATAGGAGATTCAAAAATGGGATCCAGAGTTGCCATATAAGCCACGTTGAGGCATGTGTCATTTCAGTTTGTACAGATTGTTTTTCACAATGGCTCAATGTAAATTAGAAATCATATGGAAGCATTCCCTGTTTAGATGTAACTTTATCAGACCAATTTCTTCAAATACACAAAGAAATTTAGAGATTCTATTGTCCACTAAGGAAACTGAGCTTGCTAATTTTTCCATGCATACTGGTGAAAGTGTATGGGTTTAACTCTCAAAAAGAAGGCTGGTAACTGGCATGTCTAATTCCAGAGCTCTCTAGCTTACTCCATGCTTATGTATGACTTTGTTTGTCTCTTTTCTAAATGAAATCAGTAGTGTATCACAATATTTACCGAGTCCATCATATGGAATATATGAAATAGAGAGAGCTTTGAGATAAACACATCTAACACAATAATTGCATTTTTGTAGATTATGTGCTCTTCTCATGTGTTTTGTGAATAGATCATGATGAATCACCTCATATAACTACATCTAAAATATTTTGTTTAGTCTGGTCATGTATTCATATGAATGGTTGCAGTTTAATCGATTATTTAAATAATGTTGTTTATATAACGTATATGAAACGTAAATAATTTTATTGAACTGTATTTGCTAAAAAAATAGTACAGCAAAAGTAAAAGTATCCAGTCTCTCCAATGGATCTTTTCATTATATACAGAGAGAGGCTCATATGAAAAGGATCTAGCCATGTCCTATCATCTTATTATTTTTTCCATATGAATTCTTCTGTTTGCTTTGTTCTTTTCTATTGCAAACAGAAGATGTAAAAGAGCATGCCCTCAGATTTTGGCCCTACAATCTGCAGTTTTCAATATATTATTGTGATATCTTATTCTGAGTTGCTTCACGACCAATCATTCCTACATAAATTGTTTTTAATAAAAGTCCTTTCCCAGCAAATTTGACTTGAAGAATTAAAAACGCCATGGCCATGATAAATGAAGGGTATTCGAAATGTAGTTTTCACAAACTAATGAAAATTTCCTATCCCTAAGCTATTGGTGCTCATTTTACCAACTTGGAAACGGCCTGTAATAAAATTTTGAAAAGTCACATAAGAGGTAAAGTGGTGCAGTTGTCGTATGGATTCAAATGTTTCAAGTATTATCCTATTGCATTTTTCTTATGTAACATTTTAGACATATAACATTTCTTTCTTAAACTAACAGCTAGGTAGAATTTTGGTGTTTCAGTTTCACCAGACAAGTTATCTTGAATTTCTGATTGTTTATCCTTTTTAAATTGACTTTTGTGTGTGTGTATGTGTGTTGTTTTCTATTGTCTTGCTGTTTTCTCAATGAGACTTCCGCCATTGCACACTGAGTGTCCAGAGTGAGTTTTCTGACATCACTTCGTTAGAGTTAAAACAACTCTCCAGGACAATGTTGGCTCTGCTGTGATTTCGGTACATTAGGTACTTAATGCTTACCTTATGAGCTATGTATCATAAGTAGTATTGTATAGAGTTTAATTTAAAAAGTGTGCTAAAGAATGACACAGGGCGAATTAAAATTTGTCTGCCTTGGTTTTAACTGTTCAAGATCATCAGATTTTATAAAAATAAACAGGCTACACTGACAAGGGCTGTGTCTCTAAGGGTGGACTTTAAGGTAATCCCGTTTTAGGGATTTAGGAGGAAAGCATGCACCTGTGTTTTATAAAAATGAGCCTTTAAGAAGTTCATACATTATGAACTCCCTGAAGAAAAGCCACCAACAACTACATGGCTAAAATCAAGCTATTTAATGCAGGAATGTGAAAGATCTGTATCTAGTCATAACCCTTGTCAAACAACGCGTCTCTAGGAAACATTTGAAATAAATATCCATTCTCTATAATTTTGTTGTCATTTTTCGCCTCACATGGATTTTGTGTTCAAGAATTGAAACACAGTCTCCTCACCCCTCCAGAACTCAACTAGTGCCACGGGCAGTGCCATTTTCACACCAAATAGAATTTGTCAATGAGTCAATGTTCTGAATCAAACAGCAGCCGATACAAGCAGGCCATTCGACCATTTGTGGTCGAAGCTAATTTCAAGTCAATGATCTGCTCTGATTCTGGTGGGCATCTAAAATGTGTACATCCAATGAAGGAGACCCTCCTTTTGGCAGAGAAACAGTAATGTCAAGAGGACAACTGTGTGGCTTGGTGTTTTAAGACTCAAATTCTTGGAGAATTAAGAAACTCAAAAATTATGCTTTATTTTATTTTGTAAATTTTGTCAGGCTCATGCATTGACAGATTGTACAGAAAAATACATGTGTGAATATAAATTGGTAGGGGTTAGATCAAAATACTGATTTCCACAAAGAAAAATTCTAATATTGAACATTTTTAATGATTTACCAAATCACTATGCGAGTTTACAGTTCAAGAACTATCCCATTCACATATTAAGAGTAAAGCACCATCTGTCATATTCACCTCAAAGAAAGGCTCTCCTGAGCCGGCCTGCGATTCATGGACTATAGATAAAAGTTTGCTGTCATATGGAACAGAAAGTCACTTTAGAATCAGCATTGCACTAGTTAGTGCAAGCACTTTGTATCACAGATATCGAGGACCGGCTCATTTTGTCTCCTCCAAATAAGTAAAACAAAACATTCCTATGCCCACAACAATGGCATGTGACTAGGATGCATTATGAAGCAATATACAAGTAACAAATAAAACTACACTCTCACTGAATCATGCATATTTCTTATTTTCTCACATCAGTTTGTTCATGTTATGTGCTTATGTGTTACGTTTAACAATGGACATGGACATATGAGAAGCATTTAAGCACAAGAGATGGAAATTAAGCAAGTATTAAATTCTTCCCATAGACCATATTAATGAGGAACCACAATTTAGACTGCAAATTTAGTCCCTTTCGGGAACAAACAACAATAATCTTTTTGTGAATGCTACGTTAGTTACTTACAGCAAAAATCAACCCAAAATACACAGAATAATATAACAAAGCACAATCACTCATTTAACAAATTTGAATGTACATTCACAGACTTGACTACATTCCTGATCTCCATGTGCTTAACCCACTTATGAAAAATGTATACCTTGCAACAACAGTAACTCAAATATGGGATAATTTGGAGACATATTTCATGCTCCTCATCTCCGGTAATTCAAAGGTTAGCAAAAAGTGGTTTCTCTCCTGGGTACTGAGGTGCAAGGGTTTTTTTCTAAAATGCAGCCAAGACATCAAAGAAGTAGATATCACACAAGAAGCCTATCAAATCACAAAAAAGTCAGGAAAGCATAGAATAAGAGGAAGCCTTCACTCATTCAGTAAGCATACTTTCTCATTTACTGCTTTTCCCCCCATTTTTTTTACAAAACCATGATACAAACCTTAACATTTTACGGCTAAGGTAGTGACATGATTGTGTTTTTCTGAAAGCAGTGCCTATCTTGAGCACCAAATTTATCAAACATACATGAACCCGTATGCATAATTTGCTTATAAACTGTCGGTCACATTCGGATTCATGTGAGCCCCACTCCTCTATTTACACACACAAAAAAAATAAATATTGAAACAATTAATAACAAGGCAATGACCTCTGGTGTATCGTCTATCTACACATATATGTATACACACATATATAATTATATATTTCTGGGAATATATAGTTATATACAGATTTGTTATTAATTTAATAAATAACTTTTAACAAGTCTATAACTATAAAATTTGATAAAATTAAAAAATAATTTTGCATGTTTAACAATGAAGACCAAATTAACAATGCTTTTGTCTAGTGTTAGATATTATTATTCCTTTGCAAATCAGTTTACAAGGTATTGTCAGAGTTCTTTTACCACTCATCTTGGTATGGTAAAGATGGTATTTTATTAAAACCCATATTAATTATTTAAATTGTTAGTAAATAGAAACAAACCTTATGAACAGAAATATTATTGGGTATAATAATGCATATGCAGTAAAAGAAAATGGCCTAGAGACAAATGAGTATGACGTAAAATGAAATGTCGACAAAGTTGACAGCAGCATCAACAGCAGTAAAATCCACAAAATAAAATTTGAACGTAGTCAGTAGGACGTTTTAAAAGGTGAAAATGAAGACTAAGAAAAGGTCAGCTCAGTTGGTTGAGCGACACTTCGGCATCAAGCTCAGCATGAACCTAATATGGTGTACAGCTTTCGGTTGGAAGTACGGTACAGTGCATGCGGTGGTGGGGTGCGGGGTACTTGGGGACAAAGCCCCTTCGAGGTAGAGCGTGCGTCCCCGTCGCGGTTCGCGGCCACGGTGGCCGGGCTGCTGCTACTGCAGGCCGTCCAGGCCGTCCTGGCCGTAGCGAGGACGGCGCGGCGAGGGTCGTTGGGTCGTTCACATGAGCTTCTGCTTGGCGCACTCGGGGCAGATGATGTCGTCGGCGTCGGTGATGAAGCCCCTGCCGACCAGGGACGTCTTGCAGGATGCGCAGATGAAGCAGTCGTTGTGCCAGTGGCGGTCCTCGAACGAGATGAAGCGCGTGCCGCCGATGCCTGCCGACAGAGAGCGCTCAGGTTAGGGACACGCGACGCACTGCCAAGGGAAACTCGGCTCGAAGCAAGGCTCACCGGTGATGGGCTTGACGCAGGCCGTGCAGCGCTTGGCGAACAGCTCGCCGAAGCAGTCAGCGCAGTACGGCTTCTCGTCGCGAGAGGTGAAGCGCTGGCCCGCCAGCGAGGTGTTGCAGTTGGTGCAGGTGAAGCACTCCCTGTGCCAGGGCTCGTTCTTGTAGGTCACACCGCCAGAGGTGATGATCTGGAACATAGTCGGTAGGGTTAGACTGGTCGGTCAGACGCGCAAACCGGGCCCGGCGAGCGCCTGCAGGCCGCAGGGTAGGCAGCCGCAACGCACGGCTGCGCGCAGTCGGGATGTTGCCTACCGCGCAGGCGCTCGTCGCCGCGTGCCGCGCGGCCAGCAGTCTGTGAGTCTGGCAGTGTGGTGGGCCGCTGCGCCACACTGCGCGTGGGCCAGGCGGGAAGGTCGCCGCGGCAAGACCGAGACCAGGACGTAGAGAACCACCGCGGTCCGACCGCCAAGGGTCAGCCCAGCGGGGAAACACCGGCAAGCAAAGACTGACATGCGGCCAGCTTGGCGACAAGGCGTCCCGTTTGCCGTCCACTGCAACTCCAGCCCCAGGGCCCCAGGGCACCGGTCTCTCTCGCACTCACAGCGCGTCCCGCAGTCCCGCAGGGCAGCGCGACGCCACGCTGTTCGAAATCAGCCTACTGGGTCGGGTTGGATTCCGCCGGCCGCTCCGGACGCGCCCCTCCCCTCCCCTCCCCTCTCGGCACGCCGGGCAGCCTAGGCGCGCTGGAGAAGGCGCTGGAGAGCGCCCCCGCACTCGCACCGCCCAGGCAGGCCGGGCGGGCCGGTGCGCCACGGAGCTATTCTCATTTTCCGCACCTGACGTGACGCAACGCCGTGCCTCACCTTGTTGCACTTGACGCAGCGAGTGGCGAACTTCTCCTCGTAGCAGGTGGCGCAGTAGATCTCCTGCTCGCGCGGGATGAAGCTCTTGGTGCCGATGGCCGTCTTGCAGACGACGCAGCAGAAGCACTTCTCGTGCCACTGCCTCGTCTTGTACTCCATCTTCTTGGTGCCTGCATCAGACAAGAGACAACTCGTTAGAAACACGTCGGGGTGCGATCCCTTTCGAGACACACGGTACGAGTGCAGCCAACAGGTGCGGCCGCTCGGGGAGAAAGACGGAGACAGGGGGAGGGGAGGGGGGAGGGGGGTCGCCGCGCAGATACATTGCCCCGCGCACGCTCATATAAGGCAGGTGGCGAAGGTAACAGGCGGCCACATTATTAGCCTACCAAGCGGCCAGGGGCCTCAAGAGTCGCTCCGTCTCTCTCTCTCACTCTTGTGGGGCGTCCCGCGGGGATGCGAGAGAGACAGAGCGACTCTTCGGCATCGCTCGGCTGCGCTTGCCCGTTTGCCCCCGGCCGCGCACAGCAACGCCGCAGCGCCCTGGAGCCGACCGCGCCGCTTTAACCGCACTGCAAACAACGCCAACAACGCCCGCAGTGGCCGGCAGGTTGGCGTCTTGGGCGGCATGCGGCATGCGTCACGCCGCTGGCTGACATCTACCGCCCACGCCGCCAACAGCCGCCGCGCCGCACAGACGTTCTGGCAGGAGTCGAACGAGAGGTGTCTCGGATTCCCGGATCGCGACGTCCGCATCGGCGCACGCGTGTAACACAGTGTAATGGGCGCTGAGTCACTCGTTCGACCCGACGCGCGTTTAAGTCACCGCAGACACACAAAAAGGGTGTTTTCTTTTGGTCGTTGGGGACACTGTGCGGTGGCGATCCGGTTCGGATCGGCCCGGCCCACGCGCCCTTCTTCCTCTGTCCGGCTCGGCTCGGCTCGCGGTGCGTGGGCGTGCCGAACCGGACCGGCTCGCACCGGAAGCATCACATCCATCTCGTCAACGCGTCTTCGAAGCGGAACAAAAAAAATTGTCAAATTTTCGCTGATGGCGATCTTGTCTTGTTTAACCGCGCCCCGCCGTGATCAGGCAGGACAGGAGTGGCAGGACGGGCGGGCAGGACACTAAACATGGAGTGGCGCTAGGCGCGGGGGGGGGGGGGGGGAATCCCTTCCATGTCCAAATGCGGAGGCTCTCCGCGGCGGCAGAGGGGCAGGGAAGGGGGACTTGGGTGCTCACGGAGCAGGTCAGTGAGCCACGCCGCCACGCCGCGCGCTCAATTTGAAGAGGAAGCAAAAAACCACGACGGCCCGACCGAGTACAGTCACAGTGTACGTTTCAAGTGGACGCCAACACACGGGTCGCGCTCTTCCCCCTTCAGCTTGTCTTTTTTGGGGTGTTTTTTTTTCATCGAGGCTTGCACGCGACCGCGCCGCCACGGCCTGCACCGCCTGCACGGCCTGCACGGCGGGGCGTGGTCGTGTCTGGCCGTGTAGGCGCGGTGCATCCAGACGGAGACGGCCAGGGGCAGGCAGGCGGGCCGGTGGAGGGGCGCGGCCGCGGCTTGCAAAGTGCACGAGGTGAAACGCGTTAAAATAAAAATCAAATTAGGAGAGGAAATTGAAAGTAAGTCCCGATGGCGGTGCTAGCCGACACTGGCTCGTTCGTGGTGGAGGCCTCGTGGGTGGGGCCGAGGACCCTGTCGCCTAGCGCCGCCTCGCAGTGACGTCATGCACCGAGGCCTTGGCGTCTTCATTTCGGCCGTCAGATCATCCCGCGCATAAGCCGGCCTCCCATTGGTTGGCGGCGCTGACGGGGATCATCCTCGCGCATAATGCAGCCCCCAGCAGCACGCGCAGGAAGATAAAAGCGCGGCCGCGTCCGGGACTCGAACCCGCGGCGAGGCCTTGCGGCGCCTTGCGGTGGCCACCCGTTTCGGAGAGCCGGATGCCGGATAGCCGGACGCCCTGGTCAAAGCCACCCGGAGATGCATTGCCGGGCACATGCCTGGCGAGCCGTTTTTGGACCCCGGCCAGCGCGTACTTCGCCTCCCAGTGCCCCGAGCTGCCAGGTGCTCCAGACGGCTCCAGACGACCATTAGAACGCCGTCTGGACTGCCACTCTGCCGCTCGGCGCGGCGGACTTCGACTTTAACGCTTCAGCGACCTCCTCCGCTCCTCTCCCAAATCTCGCTTCAGCGACTTCCGCTCCCCGCGGCACGCCCTCCACGCCCTGCATGACGCCACCAGGCAAGGGCGTCCGAGTCGCACTCTAGGGCGTCGCGCTCGGCGCCGAATCTCGGGCCCGGCTCCCATTCGGCGATTAATTTGGCGCGGTGACGTCACGGCCGGCCAATGGGAGCCAAGGTGACCGGGGCCACTGATAAGCGGCGGCCAATGGGAGTCGAGCAGGGCAGGCTGAGCTTTGCGCCTTGACTCGCCGTGGCGCATTAGCGACTCAGGTTTCAGCGTCCTGGTCCATTGGGCAGGCCAGGCCGCGCAGGCCCGATGCACCAGAAAGTACAGTCCAGCGAGCACCGCACCACCCGCCCACCGCCGGGTCCTTGCTTGCCGCCGTGCCGTGCCGCCAAGCAACTACAGCCGGCGGCCGGGCCGGGCCGGGCCGGCTGGGCGTTGAGTCGGTATGACAGCTTAGAGGCCCACCGCTAAAATTAGGCATCGCCTCACCAGGCCGGCGGCGATTACTCTACGGTGCCAGACCGGCCACCCGGCCCGACTCGCCGATGCAAACTCGCTGTTGGTATTCACGTGAGGGACCCTGGCCAACGAATAAGGCGGTGTCATCACCGAATCGGCCAGCTTGGCGACGCCCAGGGCCGCACGCGGCGCGCGGCACACCGTGTGCGTTCGATTGCATTTGCAGTGCACGCGCGCTGCCGCCCGGCGTTGCGTTTCAAGTTGCCGCCAGACTTTTTCGGCGGCCGGCCCGCCGAGCACGGCTATCGGCGGCATCGGGGCGCCGCACGTCCGCGGCCGCGGCCTCGGGCACGGCCTCGACGGCGACGTCGCGACGCCAAAGTGCGGCACGGCGATGAAAGCGCTGCTAGGACAGGAATGATGAGCCTGCAGCGGAAACCGATGGGCTTCGCGCTGTTTGATCGCGGGGTATCGACGGCGTCGTCGTGTACGACTACCGGCCATCATTCATTGTCCGCGGTTCGCCCACTGCCGGCCGCCGGCCGCGCGGTCGGAGGCGCAGCTCCACGACGACGGCCAGCACCGCGTGCGAACACACTCGCCACTCCCACCAAAAAGACAGGAAAAAGAAAAAAAAAGAAAATTGAAAAAAAAAAATAGGAGCAGCCGCGCGCGAATCTTGGCAAACGGCCGGACGCTTGTAGTGACGCCGCAGCTCATTGCTCATCGAGGCGCGAGAAGAAAAAATGCAGATAAGTCATCGTGATGGTGATCGCGTCGCGTGGCGGCAGATAATGGGGGGCGTGGCGACGCTAGGGGCCAGCACGGCCAGCACGGCCAGCTGGGGCGCGGCGCCGGCCTTCGAGCAGACGCAACGCATCTCTAGGCTGGCCAAGTCGGGCCTGGCCGGGCCGGGAGGGGCCGGGGTCAAGACGCTGTGGTGACACTCATTTAACGAAGTTGGGCGCTGCCGCGCCGCGGGCGGGAGAGAGAGAGAGGGCCTTCATTTCATATGCAAGTCAGGTTGGCGGATCAGATCCGGGATGGCGGCGGCGGCGGCGCGGAGCATCGACGCGGAGGTCCCCGACGGCCTGGTGCACGAGGCAAATCGCCCTTGTTTTTGGCAGTGTGGTGCTCCACTCCGCAGGACGCCTCGCCGCGCGAGCACGTCCAGCTGGGCCCTGCCGGTTGCTGCTGCCTGCTTGCTGCTGGCCGTGCTGCCCGTGGGCGTCGCGTTGGTCGCGTCACGCCGATCGGTTGGCTGGTGCCGCAGCGCCTCGCGCCGCCTCGCAGTGCCGTGCCGCCCGAGACGCTTCCAAATCCACCCAAGTCCGGCCGAAGCGGCCGCCACTTGGCCGCTTTTCGGCGCGCGGCTTGCCGCAGTACCGTAGTGAGTCAGTCACGGGGAGATGGCCGGCGACCGGGCCTCCACGTGCTCCACGCGAACACCACCCCGCCACCGTCAAGACGGCCATTAAGAAGGCCATCGGCAGGAACGCGAGGAGGTCCTGCATTAGCGGCCCGGATGCACGCGAGCAAGCGTGCCGCCCGCACGCGCGGCGCACGCGACACGGAGCACCCCGAGCACCCCGACATGCCGGTCCGGAGCGACGCGCCCGGCCATCAGTGCGGCCAGCGAAAAGTAATGACATTAGTCTGGCTACTGACTGCTTATGGGAGGGGAGGGGAGGGGGCGGCCCTGACCAAAATGGCTCGAAGTGTGCAGCGCGCCATGAGCGCCATAAGCGGTCCCAGCGCGGCGTGGCGCGGCGCGCGGCCCAGTGGGCCTGGCCTGCTCATGACAGTGCGGGGACGCGGACCTCTGCCCCGCCGCACGCCGCAGCGTTCTGGCCGCGACCAGCCGCGACGCGCAACGGGGGCACCGAGTCGATGACGGCGTGACGGCCTGGCGGGCCTGGCGGCCGTAAGCACGAGGAGCACTGAGAGCGTCCGTCCTGGCCGGCCAGGAACTAGACGGCCAGGGCGGCGGGCAGGCCCAGGCCGCTCGTGGGGACGCACTAATTGGGTGGGACATAACAGCTGGCGACGTCGCGACGTGGCGTCGACGGCCAGGTGCCGAGGCCACGAGGCGCCAGGCTGCGCCCGGCGGCGTCCCGGTCGTACCTGCCGGCGCCTTGCGGGAGTCGCCCAGCAGGCAGCGGTAGCCCAGCGCGCAGTCGAAGTTGCGCGTCGACTTGGCGTCGTCCAGGGCCTCGGGCAGGAACGTGGACAGCACGGCGATGTCCTCGTCGTTCTCCTTGGCGCGCCGGATGCGGTCGTCGCCCACCGTCTTGGTGGTGATGTGCATGGAGGACTCCATCTTGGAGGAGAGCAGGTCGGCCGCCATGGCGGGGCAGGGGGCTGGACGACGCGGCACTCGCGGACACACGCGCGGGGCTGTCGGACTCGGCGGCGCGGGGCGCGGGGCGCGGACTGGACGGGACGGCAACCGACCGCGGCGACAGTCCAGCGAGGAGTGTCGGCTTGAGGCGGCCCGGCCCGGCCCGGC